CTCTCTCTCTGTATATATATATATATATATATATCTAATTCCACATGTTTATTTCCAATAAAGCTCTTATTATAAAGGCTTTTAATTTATTTTCATATAGTAAAATACCTAAGAGGTGGCGCTATGGAAGCACAAGTACAGCGCTGGAAAACCGCGAGTTATAGCATTATTTTTGCGTATAAATAGCACAAAGGTGGGAAAGTAAGGAATGTGTAAGAAATGGCTCAAACGAAGGTAACGCGGTATTATGACACTAGAAAACGGAAGTTGGATTTAAAGTTGTTCAATTCTAAGCAGAAGACTCAGAATGTATTAGAAAACGAAGAACGTTGTAACTTGTTGAAATCCACTGACTTTCACATTCCAAGAAAATCATCAAAGTTTTTTAATGTTTTGTATCCTCATACAAGCGTTACTGGTGACTGTGACAATGAAAGTAACAAAGATGTAACCTTAGGTTCTCCGTCAGGTTTGTTTAATGAAACCAAGAGTAAATCTAAAGACTGCCTTATTGATCTTGAATCATCTGAAGATAAAAATAGAAGATGTAAAGCACAAGTAGCAGCAAAACTTTCAAAATCCACAACTATTAAAATTGAAAATCCAAAGACATCTTCAACTTCAAAAATAAAACGTAAGGTAGGAAAAAGGTCAGAAAAAAGAATGGATCTTTTAATACTAAAGGTAATAAAAATATTAAAGTTATGTTTACCTCTATTTCTTCAAAAAGTCTGGAAACTATCAACCAGGATAAAACTGAAGAAGAAATAAATAAAGAAAAGCTTGAGAGTGAAATACATGAAACCAATTCATGCTCCACTGATGACCATAAAAGATATGATATCTCTTTAGAACCAAGCTCGAGAAATACTGAAAACGCAAGCAAATTTATTTGTGAAAATGATATACTTGATGTTTCATACCAAACAAATATTCCAGTGTCAGCTGTGAAAACATCAAAAAGAAATGCATCTGAGGAAGTTGAAGACTGTAACATTGTTTCTAACAAGTATTTGAAGAAACGGAAGTTAGTGGCAGAAAACTTTGATGATATGAAGGAACCTGAGCTGTATTCCAAGAAAAATTCATCAAATAATAAACAGTCAACAGCAAGAGAGTCTGCATTAAAAGAAATATTACCAGTATGTCTTTCAACAGTATGTCTAGTATTAGTAATAGTAGAGTAGCTATCCATCAAGTAAGTCAGAATAACAAAAGTGTTTTAACTTTTAGCAATCTCACTAAAACGTTGTCCATTATATAGGCTCTAAGTTTAAATACAATTATAAGTGTTTGTTCCTTTATCCTGTGATTAAAATTATAATCATATGATTAACTGTTGTCTGAGCTTGAAAGAAGTCGGAATGTTTTAGTCTTTTCATAAGAGTGATAATCCATGTTACACAGATAGAAAATGGGATTGTACAAAAATTCACGGATGTCGGAACCAGAATGTTACTGAGTGTTAGTGATAGGGTAAGTTGGGTGAAGCTTTTGATCTGACTAGTACTAGTAGTATAAGTATTGCTTCATGACAGAAGTCAGTACTAGGTTATCACTTTTACCACAACAAGCTTCAGAATGACTTACATAAGAACTTCTACTGTGTACAACAAAGACTGCGTCACTGCTAGCACCCTTTAATGCTCTGTATATTATATCCTTCACCCCTGACCCTGGGTAATGTAATGTAATTTTTGTTATTTACCCCACATGCTATACCAAAGAATCACCTACAACTATAACATTTTGTTTCGTATGTACAAAGTACTGGCTGAAATCTTTAACATTGTTTAATGATTCCAATCTAGGGGGGGGGGGGGATTTGGAACTGCAAGTGAACAGTATCAACAAAGGTGAAATTATTGTTTTATTTCAACAGATTCTGTAAAATAAAATAACCTATTAAAAACTATTTTCTATCTGTTGAGTAACAACATCATGAAGTTCAAAGGCTGCCTTGACTATTGTTTCTATCTGCTGCCTTCCACTCTTCTCGTAAGTTGCTTTCATGAAAAATAAAATTAGGGGTCAAAATTAGTGCTAACAAATTGCTGGTTAATTTTGTGGTTTTACTAGTAAAACTTGGAAAGCACTGGAAAAAAATTGCTTGTAATAGTAGTATGCATTTCAGAAGGAAGATTTGGATATTCTACTTTACAGTAAACATCAATAAATGCATTTCATTTATATTGGAAGATTCTGAGTACAGTTTAAGAAATAATACATTTCTACTTGTTAATAACATAATAATCTGTTATATAGTTTCATTGACAACTGGTTGGACCAATCAAGTTCTTTTGTCCCTGTACTGTAGTGAAGTGTAAGTTTGCTGTTCAGTTTGTGCATCTAAACAAAAGTTAGCATATGTCTCAAACCCTTTATAGTTATCACATGCATGACAAGAATGGTAAATATGAATTTCAATTGTAATACTAATAGCATAATAGCACTTCTAAAATCCAACACATATTCAGATTTTGCAAAAAACATACCTCATTGATAATTCGGCTTATCACATCAAACAAAATCCACGGACATGGCATCAGAAGCTTTCAATCCTGCCAAACCTGTCTAGACAAGGAAAGGAGAACACTTAGCAGTAGGAGCCATAATAATTAGGCACTCTGTTGGTCAGTGCTCTTGAACACACCTCATCCCAGCTGCTGGACTCTGTCAACGTTATCACAAGTTCAGTTGAAAAAATTCCAAAATCCTAAACACCCCAAAAATGAAATGAAATATAACTGCAACTCTTTCATCCATCTTTATATAAATAGTACTGATTGAAATAGCACCACAAGAAACCAGTATGTCATTAAAGGGCCAGTCATATCTCATGTATACAAGTTTGGTCAAAATGTCAAGATATGTAAATTGTAGAGTGTGTGTGATTCTTTTTTTTTATATATACCAGAAAGTATTGGAATGTTCAAGTGATGTTAACTTCTTATCAGTAAACAGAAGTTGGAAAACTCAGATTAAAAAGTTTTTCATTTTTATCTGATACAATTAACTACTACATAATTTATGATCTTCACAACCTTTAATATATTTGTTAGATGGGTCACAAAGTTAATGAGAGATTTCATGAATACATAACATAATGTTTTGGTACATGGGATCTATTGGTCCATCTCGGCTGTCCCATCCTTTAAACTAAACTAAAACTATTATTAAAAGAAAATCTTAAAGCCAGCCCTTATCATTCCTATACTCATCAAACTTTTTCTGAAGCTCACTTACATTTACTGCCTCCACAACATCCAAAGGCAACCAATTTCAGAAGCCAACCACCCTGTTAGAAAAATAAAACTGTCTTTGCTGAAGGTGACTCCTACCCTTCCAAATGACATATTAATGATAATATTGATGAGCCAGTTTCCTGACATTATTAAGATGACAAATCTTTCATATCTCAAACTAGTTTTCATAAAGTCTACTTGCTTGAATGCGAGAAACAATGCCTTATTTCTAGTCTAGAAATTTTACATATTGGGGTTAAAGGAAACATTTTCTTTCATTTAATGTTTCTTTCTGACTAATTTTTTGGTTGTTTACTCTGACTTAGACAACAAGATTTTCCCAGTAATTAATGTATAAGCAATGCACAGTGGAATGTATATGTTCTATATCTTTGACATGTTACTGACATTCTCTTATAGTATGAAATTGCATAAAAACAAGTCAAATCCAGATACTATGTGAACTGTTATAGCCTGAAAATAAAGGTATTGGTACATCTGGCTAGATTTGTGTAATTTTCATTAATGTTTGAAATTGAGATATGAAATTAGTTTAACAAAAATACTCTTTGAAAATCAGAAAAGAATCCTTACAACCTTGAAAAAAATATTGGCCAGGTCTGTATGAATCGTGTATAAGGACAATGTCTTTCGAAACACGAAAAACTTGTATATGTTTTCATCAATTGTTTAACATAACATATGGAGAGTAAGGGACCATTTGGTACTTCAAGGAATCCTTGCATACTAAGTTTCTGAAACATAAAAATATAAACCTATTTTAAGAAATAATCTATTCCTCTCTCAAAGTCCATCCACAGTATCTTATTCCTGAAATCAATCACCCTATTAGAAAAATAAAACTGTTTCCAAATCTTAAACTTTTGTTCTCAAAGGATATTGCACAAAGAAATCATTTGTAATTAGCCTGATAATTTTGTGTACTTCAATAAAATCACCTTTTACCTTTTTCTAAAGAGAAAATAAGTTAAGAGATCTTACCTACCCTTATAAAATAATCCTTTCATTTTCAGAATCATTATAGTAGTGACTAGTTCTTCTCTAAACCCTTTCCAATAGATCAGTCATTTTCTTTGATAAATAAAGCAAAATTACATTGTGTAATGGACCAAAACAAAGCTATTCCAAGGGAGAACTAACTTATGATTTGTAGAAAGATACTACTTCTTTGGACTGGCAGTCAATATGTCTATAAATACACTAAAATTCTATCAGATTTGCTACTAGCAACAGATCATTGGCTGAATGTCACGTGTGACTTAGACACACTATGTGAAGAACCTTTTCATCAGTATATTGTTGAGTGGATTCCCATGTACCTTAAATATATGAACCAAATTATGACCTAAATGCATTATCTTGTGCTTACTAAAATTAATAGTCATTTGCCAAATATCTGTCCAATATATCAATAAATCCAAGTCATCCAATAGAACCTCACCATCATCAATATATCTTAAAGAACCCAAGAGTTTAATGTCATCAACAAACTTTATTAATCAACAGTATTTTCTCTGATTCAACCACCCTGTAATCCACTAAACTAGTTTTCTTCAACTTCTACTGATACGATACTTTTAGCTAGTTGTCTGTATCAGAAGGTTTTTGAAGAATCTTAATTCTACACTTTTTCCATCATCCCTATGACAAATAACATCTTTGAAAATATTTTAACAGAGTAAAAAAGATAAATTTTCCTTTTTGTGATTTGGTATTTTGTGATATAAAATTTCACTAAGTGATTTTTTAGAAAACTACTTTTATCAGACCTTCTATAATTTATCCTCCTACAGAAGTAAGACTAACTGATCTATAATTTCCATAGCAACTCTTGTCACCCCTTTTAAAAATAGGAGTAACTTTCCAGTCTTCCGGCAATGCCCACTAAAGAAATGAGAGAGAGGCTAACATACGGAGCTGGGTGGATAACTAATTAGCTATCTATTGATCTAGCTATCTGTTTACTTTTGTTGTAGAATGTTAATCTGGATGATGAAATGCATGTGAACTTGGTTTTCTTAGATTTTCAAAAGGCTTTTGATGAGGTACCACATATATTACCTGAAAAAAACCACATCACTGGGTTAGAGAAAGATTAAATAGTTGAACTGTAGTATCTGAGTGAAAGAAAGGAGAAATATATTAATGGAATGCAATCAAACTGGACCTTTCATTACATAACATACTTTATAGAATGTTTCATTAATTCTTCTCAAATCTTAACTTTGATAGAAATTGGACAAGATATCAATTTTCATCAATCAGAAAAGCCCCCCAACTATTGATATTCTTAATAATTGTTCAAAAAAAGTCTGTGTGTCTGCTTATAACTGGTGAACCAGTGGACCAAACTTGACATGCACCATGGCTTTAGGGTTCTATGGGGATCTGACCACTCTGAATCACCTCTGGGAGCTTCTGTTTCTTCATGAATTGAATTGGTATATAGGCTCGTGTATGTATGAATGTTGACCTCTGAATTTTTAGATGTCTGATGGATAGCTAGTTTCTTATCTTTTATCCTCAGTAAAGTAGTCAATAATCAAACAGCATTTGTAGTGTTTACTAGTAATTTATATATTTAAACTAATAGCACAAAAGAAAGTTATATATATATATATATATATATATATATATATATA